GCCGAACCTAATGTGGCACAAAAAGGAGTGTCGCAAAGTAATTCAGCTGATTCGAGTACAACGAATGTAACAGCCTCTATAACAGCCAATAACACATGTATTGGAAACACGTCGAACCATTCACCAGCTTCTTTGCCGACAGTGCTGTTGGCCACCGCGTTTGTGGAAGCACGTGGTCCGAATGGAAACAGACAAATCTTGCGAGTATTAATCGATAATGGAGCTGAAGCTACGTTCATTAGTGAGTTTGCAGCACGACAGATGCAGTTACAACGTACAGTCGTTAAGATCCCGATCAGCGGTGCATCTGGTACGAGCGTGGCTTGTGCGAAGGCATTGGCCAAAGTCACTATTCGATCACTACAATATGATTTTGAGATGGAGTGTATCGCCTTGGTACTTCCAAGGGTAGGGAACATTACACCTAGTAAGCACATCCCGAATACCGAATTCCCAGAATTGGGTCAGCTAAAGTTAGCTGATCCCAAGTGGTACCAACCCGGTGCTATTGACATCATCATGAGTGCGGCAGACTACGCCATGATAATAAGCGACGAGGTTAAACAAAGCGCTACTAATGGAATGGTGGCACAGCATACGCAACTAGGCTGGATCATCTTTGGTGGGTTATCTGATCATAAGGGTATGGCTGATACTCACAAAGCCCAGTGCTACAACACACACATCGACTTGGAGCATACCTTACGTCTTTTCTGGGAACTTGAGGAACTCAACGAGCATCAAACCCTGACGGAAGATGAAGTATACTGCGAAAAACTGTTCGAGCAAACTACAAGGCGTAACAGTTTGGGCCGATACATCGTGAAACTCCCTGTGCGAAAGGGCGTTGACCTTCAGCAGCTTGCACCTAGCAAGCAAGATGCGCTAGTCTTGTTAGAACATACACATCGACGGCTTGCTCGCGAACCTGAACTTAGTACAGGTTACAACAAGTTTATGGAAGAGTATCGTAAACTCGGGCACATGGAGGTGTCGAACGACAACAATGCTATTCGCATGTGCTATTTACCACACCACGGTGTGTGGAAGGCTTCGAGCACTACTACAAAACTTCGTGTGGTGTTTAATGCTGCACGGAAATACTCCACTGGGGTATCGCTAAACGACTGTCTGTACACTGGGCCGAAGTTGCAGAATGATTTGGCGAATATTTTGCTGAACTGGCGACAACACAAATTTGCATTTACGGGCGACATCGAGAAAATGTACAGGCAGATTTTGGTGGACCGCGAAGATACTGAACTTCAACGAATCTATTGGCGAACTCCTACAGAGGATTCACCCACCAGCTACACGCTACTGACCGTAACGTATGGGACTAATTGTGCACCGTACTTGGCACTTAAAGTCTTACGACGTCTCGCAAATGATGAGCGAGAGAAATTCCCTCAAGCGGCAAAGTCACTCGAAACTGAATTTTACGTAGATGACGTCTTATCCGGAGGTGACACACACGCTGACGTTATCAACAATATACCTCAATTAAAATCGCTGCTACAGGCAGGCGGTTTTAGTTTGCGCAAGTTCAACTCCAACGCTATTGAGGTCTTGAACGCTATTGAGCCATGCGATCGTGATCCATCGGACTCATTGGAGTTAGGCATGAGCGACCAGACCAAGGCTTTGGGAATCGTTTGGCTTACTCGTACTGATATGCTAACGTATAGTATCGATTTGGATTACAGCATTACGTGCTTCAACAAACGTCAACTGGCGAGTGATGTTGCTAGAGTATTCGATCCGTTGGGACTCGTGGCTCCTGTAACTGTAAGAGGCAAAATCTTTTTGCAGCGGCTATGGGACCGGAAGTTAGATTGGGGTGAGACCCTGCCCCAAGATCTTCAGCACGAGTGGAAAAGTTATCGAAACGAATTACAACAACTTCAAAATTTGCATATCCCGCGTTGGCTAAAAGTAGTCGCGAACTGCACCGTGGAACTACACGCTTTCTCAGACGCATCGAGCGCAGCGTACGCTGCTGCAATCTACATAAAGGTAACAACTGACGGTTATACCTCAGTCAATTTGCTAATGGCGAAAACGAAAGTGGCACCTTTAAAGCGACTGTCAATTCCACGACTTGAGTTGTGTGGTGCTCGTCTCGCTGCGGTTCTCTTGGCAAAAACCAAAGATGCATTATCGTTCAAATTTGATCGATGTCTACTGTGGACGGACTCCGTAACTGCGCTCTGTTGGATCCGATCGTCACCAGGCAAATTGAAGCAGTTTGTTTCGAACCGTGTCACGCAAATTCAGAACGTCACTTCCGACGCAGCCTGGCGCTATATTTCAACGAAGGACAATCCGGCAGATTGTGCTTCGAGAGGTATTTCGGCCAACAACTTACTGTCCAACACACTATGGTGGAACGGGCCAGCATGGCTTTCCTTGAATGAACAATACTGGCCTCAACACAAAATAAACTTTCCGGAAAATATCCCGGAAACCAGAAAAGTCACTGTTTGCACAGTGCAACTTAATAATCAAGACTGGTTGTATACAATCACTACAAAATATTCGAGCCTCGACAAACTCATCGCTATAATTGGATGGTGCTTACGGTTTGCAAATAAGTGCCGAAATAAATCGAGTATTCTGACATCGTTTTGCACCTGGCCAGAACGGTACAAAGCGCTAAAGATACTCATTAAGATGACGCAACAAACTGAATTTAAGCAAGAAATTTTAGCTCTACAACAACAACAAGAACTTTCAAAAAAGTAAGCTAAGAAAGCTGAGTCTAACACTGGATTCTGAAAGCATTATGCGTCTACGCGGGCGATTGCAACAAGCACATATGCCGTTCAACGAAAGATGCCCTATTGTCATGCCCAAACGGCATCCTCTCACGTCTTTAATTGTGCACCATGCTCATAAGCGGTGTCTTCATGGCGGTAAGCAAGCAACACTGGGTTATGTAAGACGCCAGTTCTGGGTTATCGATGGGCGTACGGAAGTGAAACGCGTAATACGCAGCTGTGTCAAGTGTTATCGACATAGCTGCACCCCACAAAAGCAAATGATGGGCGACCTTCCGGCAGCACGTTACACTGTAACATTCCCGTTCATGCACACCGGCGTCGATTACGTTGGACCATTCAATATACGAGCAACCAAGGGGCGGGGACACAAGAGTTATAAAGGTTACGTGGCATTGTTCGTTTGTTTGGCCAGTAAAGGCATTCATCTTGAGATGGTAAGCGACATGACAACTCAATCATTTATTCATGCATTAGAACGTTTTGTAGCTGCACGTGGCATCTGCTCAGACATGTATAGCGACAGAGGTACTACCTTTGTTGGTGCTGACGCGCTCATGAAAGAAGAACTTAAAGAATTTCGGAAGCAGTTGGACGCCGCGGCTAGCTATGCCTCACGGACTGGTATAAACTGGCACTTCATACCCCCAGGAGCTCCAAACTTTGGCGTGCTTTGGGAAGCCGGCGTTAAAAGCATGAAAGCCTTGTTAAAACGCACAATCAACACTACAACACTCACCTTTGAAGAATTTTACACAGTGCTCAAGCGAGTCGAATCGTGTCTAAACTCTAGACCACTTACGGCACTCACAGATGATCCTACGGATTTCGCTGCGTTGACACCAGGGCACATGCTAATTGGACGCGCTCTTACCAGCGTGCCAGAACCTAATCTTCTCGATACAAAGAGTGGTGTTTTGTACCGCTGGAAACAACTTAGCCAGATATATCAAGACTTCTGGCGCAGATGGTCTGTAGAGTATTTACATCATTTGCAAGTTCGCTCCAAATGGCATAAACAACAACCGAATGTCAAGGTTGGAGAACTTGTGCTTGTTAGAGATGAAAAAGCACCCCCTACTCAATGGAAACTGGCTCGAATTACAGACACCCATCCGGGCTCTGATGGACTTGTTCGCGTCGTGAGCTTAAAAACGGCAACTACCGCGTTCCAGCGGCCAATCTCGAAAATATCTGTGCTGCCTATTCCTACAGAAACGCCCAAGTCCTCGGACTAGGACACCTACGGTGGGCGGCGAACGTGATTTTCGTCGACATACGACGAGGTGGGCGGGAAATGTTAAGGATTTTCTGAACACTTCCCAATAATTCACTCAAATAGCTGTCGACGTATGATGAAAATAGGCTCTCTGAGCGGTGTGACAGTTACGACATCATCAAAAAGAACCGCACGCGTTTTTTCACTACGCATTTCAGTTTTTGTATTCTTTTCGCTCATCAAATATTTATTCCATTTAACATCATCATAATTGTAATCAAAATACTTTAATAAATATTCTCGCGTTAGTACAAATAAACGATTGCTCATCATTTATCTTGAAAACAATTCCTGGCATCCCTCAACATAACCCCAAACAACAAATTTGTACAGAAAAATGGTTTGAAATGGAGAAAGTGTGCGGATATTTGCAGATAGATGCCGCCACTAGATTTAAAACCCGTATTGGATAACGCTTCGAAGATAACAGAGGCCTGCGAAATTAAAATACATCTTTGGTATATTTTAGAATTTCTAGCAATTTGCATGAAAACCCCATGAATAAACAAAGTAAATCAGAAAAGCGTATCGGGGACTTATATTCAATACCCTCTATCTACAATTTTGATGAAAATGAGTTTTTGATGGTAATACCATGTCCCCACCGGAGCTAACCACGTAGTTATGGCTGTTGAGTTGGTTATCCCGATAACCCACTTCATTTAGCGTAGTTTCGCCATATAAAAATGACAGCACTTAACCATTTCACTGAGATGGTTAAAATCTAACCAACTCGAAACCACGTCGAGAGTCTGATACAACCCTGTGTTTTCCCGCCATCTGTGGGTCATTAGCGTTAAAATGTAAAGAACTCGTTCCCTACTAGTGTTTGGACTCAGCTAAAATCAGATTAGATTTACTCCGGTTTTTAAAAAAATTTTAAATCAAGTCCTCTACTCCGCTTGACTTCAAATCTATTCCGTTTTTTCATTCATGTTATGCCCCTCTTGGGGCCGTTTTTTGAGTGTTCACCACCGGTTTCAGTAAAAAAATTGAAAGTTAGCCAAATCTCACTGTTAAAAAGTAACTTTTTCATAGTAATGAGCCAATAAAGTAACTTCGTTATTTTTTGATGTATGGCTGTACAAATTGGCGGATGCAGAACTTTACTTAAGTTTTTAAAAAATATATGTAAAATGAAATTTATATAAAGTAGAAAAGGTTTGCTTTTTTAAAAATTAAGTGTTAGATACGTTCTACTATATAGAAAATGCTAAGAATTACCTAAATTTTAACATATCCTTACATTGCCTCGCGTACTTATTTTGCAGGAATAGAAAATATTTTAGTCAAACAATTTATGTCAGAAACAAAAATTCAATCTAGTACGGAAATTTAGTTTTTGCTCCGATTTTTGCGGGAATTTAGTCCTGAATCGATTTTTGGAAGTCCGAACACTGTTCGTTACATTTGTACTGTTTTATAAACCTTAAACCGCAGTGTGGACAGCAATAGTTAGTGAGGTGGTTAAGTTCGATTTGAGATGGTTAACTTTTTGGTGGGGACATGGTATAACGTGAGCTCTTATTTATCCTTCAGCCATGACAATAATGCCAAACTTAAAATTTTGCTTTTATGGTATTATATTCTCATTTTGAAAAATCCACTATCTGCAATAACATTTTGTTACAAAAGCAAAATCCTCTATCTACACAATTTAGCTGGAAAAACGTTTTCATTACCAATTTTTTGTGGCAGGTCAAATAAAGACTGGGTAAGTTACATGTGCCGATGCATGTATGTATATGTTCCGGTAAAATCCGATCTTAGGTCAAACTAGTTTTGCCCAGGCTAAACTTGTTCTACCTAATGCGATATCCAACCAAAACCAAATCTTGTGGACTGCGTAGCTTCAGTTGGACTGATGATGAGAGTTACAAAAATAGTTTATTCTAAGATCGGGTTTGGCCGGTAGCTTACAGGTATATACATGTCCGCTCATTTACTAGAATAATGTCATAACTCAAAAAATCAAAACTCGAGAAAGACGGCTTTAAAGTTTTGAATTTACATATACGCCGATACTAAAAATGAATACATATTTTATTCTATTGAGATTCTGGTAAAGGCCTGTATGCAGCTCTCAAGAAAAGCAAAAACTCCATATAAAATGACGTACAAGAAATGGCTAAGAAATTTTCTTCAGTCAATTTCCTTAAGGCAGTACGCAGTTCTTAAGAAATTTACTACGCTTTCTACCACGGTTTTCTAAAGTTTTTTTGTGAAGAAACAGCATAAGGCAACCCAGTTTTGCAACAGAAATATATGCCCGTTGCATTATTTCTTGAGGAAAGAGTGAGGCAACAGGCTGTGAAGTATCAAAAAATTTCAAAATTCCTTGGACACATACGCGAAATAATGGCAATTTTTTCTTGACCGTTTTCTTGAGAGCTGCATACAGGGCTTAATCGATACAGCTATGATATTTTTACACGAAATAGAAGAAGACGTAGCGATAATTTCTGCATATTCAACTCAAAATTTGTATTTTTTGGATTATGACACTACTAAAGTAAATGAGCGATGTGTATATGTTTATTTGCCTCCACTTGGTTCGAAGATTCCCACAATTCTCTCTTACTCATATCTATTTAAGAGTTTGACCAACCATCTCTTCGATGACAGACAAAAGCCCTGGCGCAGACAAAATCCCGTACCCCGTTCTAAAAAATTATCCGTATCCCATCAAACATAGAGTCATTAAACTCCATAACTACATTTTATTTCAAGGGTTGTATCACCAAGAGTGGGAAACTGCTATTATTATTCCTATTGCCAAACTAAATACGCTAATGATATTTTAATTTTTTCTAAGACTAAGGACTTGACGCAAGTAAAAATTATTTTTTCTAACATACCAAACGATCTAATCAATTGGTCCAAATCTTCAGGAGCTCAGATTTAAGCTGAAAAAGTAATTTTTTCACATATGCAGAAAATACAAATAAATACATACATCCAACCCTCTCCTTGTCTAACACCCCTCCCCTATACTGATACATTGAAAATATTTGGAATGATTTTTTACAATAAACCTACTTTTAAGCAGAACTGTCATTATGTAAAAGTTGACTTTGGGCTCGTAATTTATGGACACTGCGCAAAAAAACATCTTAAATTGCTAGAAACACCTTACTATGTAGCAGAGGAGAAAAAGCATCCGTGCATTTCCCACCTCGCCAATAAAAGCTATCTCTCACGTCGAATCCTGCTTTCAACAAAAAAACTGATGTAGCACGCAATCACCTTTATTTCGTATATTAAGCTACATCAAAGATTTCGACATCATCCGATGCTTACTAAAGTAAAAAATCTACCGCAAGGGCATTTGCCCAGTTTGATACTCATAAATTACCTGGGAGCTTATTTTCACAGACGGTTCCAGATATGGTGGTAACAAAAGGGCTGGGTGTTACAATTGTCTTCAGTGCTTTTCCCCCGTACTACTCGGCATTTACAGCCGAATCAGCTGTACGTTTCGCCTCTATAAACGAAGGAAATTTCCTCATCTGAACGGACAGTAAACCAGCCAGCGAAGCCTCTTTTAACAGTGCTAATGTTCTCATATAATTTCGAAATCACGTGAAATACTCTTTTGACACAAAAACACATATAAAATTATGTGGTTACCTGGGCACATCGGAATAGAAGGGAACGAATTTTCACACCTATGATTTCTGCATTAA